AATTGACTTGTGTGTTGCGTTTAACATTTGCGGTTTCGCACTTTTGCAACAATCCGAACGCGATGACGACAACGACGACGATGTCGGTGGTCGTGTGGCATCAACATTGATGGGGGAGAAGCATCCAGGATTTCGGTGTCCTGCCATTGATTGTACGCAACAGGGTGGAAAGTTGAAGTGCATCCGGGAGTGGTCAGCTGCGCCAAAGTCTGCTGGCCAAATTACCGGGCTTTCGGGCGGCAGAGTGGGCTGTTCTGTCATTATGCGAATTATGAGTGGGATAAAAGGCATTAAACAGTTCATTTTTTCCTCGCTCTTGGCCACCGGGTTTTAGGCTAATTGAAAAAAGGCTGTTGGGCGGGACGCAGGTGTGTTTGCAATTTGTAAATGAGGCTGTGTTTCGGGGTGTTAGTTGAGTGTTTGTGGCTGTCCGGCCTGAAAGTATGCCACATGAATTTCTGATTTGCCAGATCTATTCCATCCCATTTCGAAAACCTATTTCTAGCTTATCAGTTCTTCATGCTTGACATATTTCAACATGCATACGTATGTGAATTATCGGAAGTTCTTTTTTGTACATGTCAAATTTTGTGACATTTTTTGGAATTTCAATTTTGACAGTTGATGAGCAAGGGAGTCTTTCCAAACAGGATGAGATCTGGGGAGTCACCTGAATTTATGGGCAGCTTTAAGCTGCGGAACACACATCTGATGCCTTTCCCCAGCTGATGTAATTAAATTTGTGGCTGTGACAATTTCATTTTCCCCCAACCTCCGATCCCTTGAGTCATGACCAACCCTTTTGCTGTTTGAAAAACCCCCACTGCCTTTTTAAGTATTCCATTTTTTCTGTTGCCTCTGCTGCTGGCTTGCCAAGAGGTTGAGTGTTGTTACATTATCATCGACATCGGAGAGGGCGGTCCTGGCTTTCGAGTGCGTGTCCTGCGAATTTCCTGACTCCTGCACATCCTCGCGGCAACTGTTTTGTAGTCATATTATGTGTCACTCGCTCTGGAAGTGGTCTCAACTGCGCTCTTCTCCTCTTTTTTAAGTGATTTAATGGATTTTGCATACACGAGCAGCCCGGCAAGTCGTTAATTGCTGGAGGCGACTTCAATTAGTGCCACTGAAATGATACGGGAAATGTGGCATGGCATTTCGAGTGTCCTGCAAAACGCAATCAGCCGGAAGTGACTTTCTGTAGAGCTCAAAACTTGACAAATGCTTTTTAATGGCAAATCTGTATAATAAAATTATGAGGTTTTCATATTTTCAACGATAACCACTAAAAGTATGCTTCGTTTATTAAACTTTTACTTTTTAGCTATATAAAAATGTTATTGGAAAATCTTACGAAGCTCATTCGCCAGCAAATTAATCTCTTTTCAGTTGTGCACTTTGGTTTTTCTCTACCGGGCAAACCGTTTAATTAAAGAATAACAAAAGTCTGCCAAATCGTCAATTGGCAGCCAGGGAATCATTCCATCAAACTGTCAATAAGCAATTCATTTGCAAATGCGTTTTCTGTCGAGGGGACCGTCGAGTTGAGATAAAGAAAAAAGGTAAGCAAAGAAATGTCTCCGCAATTGTAGGTGAGTTGGTCCATGTCATTGTTTGTCAAAAAGCCATTTGCAAGTGTATCGAATTTCGAGAGAAAAAGTTTCCTCGAAATGGGTAAAAAAGCTAAAGAAACGGGCAAAGTGGATACACTCTATCGGTTTTAATATGGAAATTACCTTTAATATATTTTATTTTTCTGGTTTAATACCTTTAAGAATTATGTATTAAATTCCCTTTAGAATTCTATTCTTTTTATTATTAATTTTTGAATAATGGAGTTCTTTTATTAATAATGAGGCTGAATATGTTTTGTTTTAAAAAAATCCAGAATTATTGTGTTGAATCATTTTTATAAATGTAGCACTTTTTAAAATATCTTGAATAGGTTCAAGTCAAGTTCAGACAACCATTTCAATTTTCAAATTTTATTAGAAACTTTCTACGTTTAATATAGAAATCTAGAAAAACCTTTATAAATACAGAGGATTTCCTAAAATTTGAAGATAAATTTCCCAATTTTAATTATTTATTTAACTTTTCAAATATATCATATTTATCTCTGCCTTAGTGCTTTTGTATATTTTTTAACCGACAGAAGAGCATCCGACTTCTGGTCTTTGCTCAACCAGTTCCCGTGGGACTCGGATGTTGATGTGAAAATCAGGGGCGAAGGTGGCGCCCCGTTCCCGACTCGACTGCTCCATGCTCGATGCCACGCCGACAGTGGCAACCTATCGAAGTATCGCAGTGCTCCATCTAACCGAAGAGCCCTGACATTTGCGCCTCCTCACTTCATGCACAATCGACGACTCGATTTAATGGAAAAAATGAATTTCACTCTTCTGCGCCGGCTCTCTCTGCGGTTTGTCCGCCATTGTTCCTGGGACAAAGGACCGACGGCGAACGAGTGAATCGAGTGTGTTTGAATGCTAACCAAAACACAAAAAAAGATAGCTCGGTTTGGCCATAAGGAGAGCGTTTAATGAACGCTTCCCTTCCGTTCATTGGCAATGGAAATCCCCCTCTTTTCGCACAACAAATCGAAAATCGTAATTGAAGCTTTGCACTGCCAATGTGAAACTTTTATACGAAAAGACTAGAAAAAAAAAACTGTCAATGAATTTTTTTGCTGTCAAGAGCGTTTGCCTTGATTAATTGTGGTTTGAGGTTTTGTGTACAACATATGCGGTGAGAGAAAACAGTTTAGATATCCGTTGGGCCAACACTTGATTTAAATTTAAAACGCTATTGGCGACAAAAAATTGCCAACTTTTTTTGCCCTGTCGAATTTGGAGCACAATGCAACCGCGATAAGCAGAGTGAAGCGTATAGGAAATTAAATTTTTTCCAATCAAAAACATTTCAATGGCAGTGCACACTCTCAGTTCGCCGAGGAGGTGGAAATCTGGAAAAGCGGGGGAGTTGGAAAGGGGAAACAGAGATGTGCAATCAGCATTCAATGTGGCCCGGAGTTGGGGATTTATTTGTTCGCAATTGTGTCAATAAACTGGCGAAAATGTAAAGCCGCATATAAAGCTCGATGCTCAAAAATGATAAGCGAAAAAGTTGCTGCCGAAAATCAATTTTAATGAAATCATTCAATTGGAAAGAGAATGTAATTTAATGTATTTTTATTTCAAATATGTATATAATTTAACTTAAATTAAATTATTAATATAATTAATAATTAAATAAATTATTTGAATTAATAATATATTATTTTTATGTATTAAAATTGTACTTAACTTAGAATCTATTCAACATTTCCATCGTTATTATTTTTATTCTTCTTTTCAAGGGTGCGTGCAACAGGGGCGACTGGAAAAACAATAACATTAAATCACTTAAAGTGTCAACATAGCCCTGGTCAATGTACCAAGTGCAAGTCCAGATGGCATCATTCATTATCATAATCTGCAACATCATAAAGCAATTTGGCCCCTCTGGAATGAGTTTGTTTTGCGTCTCGCCACGAATGTGAGCTGTTTGCTGGTTGCTCTTGGAAATCTTAATTACTTGCCCCCTCTGTTTGGACCAGAACTTGACCTCGTCCAGGACGAGTGTGGAGTGTGGAGAGCTGGAGTGTTAAGAGCTGTCCCCCCAGCTGACCATAATGGGGGTTAATTGGTCTGTGGTGCGCGACACGCATACATCTTGGTAATTAACGAGAAAGAGCGTTCAGGTCCGGCCATATGGACATGCTTTCTAGGGGAACACCACCAACTTTCACTCTCCCCCACAAATGTATTATCTCTGTTAGACACAAGAGTCCAGGCTTCGAGTGCTTCAAGTGCATTTCAAAATTAATTTATGGGGCGTTGCGTTAATATTAATTTCGCATGCTTTCTCTAGAAATATTTCTCCCCATTGGCCACCCCAGTGGCAATTATAGCGCAGTGTCATTGGACTTTCTTCAACTAGCGCAATTTATGGTTTCATTATGTTAATTATTGGCAATTGCCGGCTAAATGAAAGCAGCGATAACCCCTATGCACTTTCGTAATTTAGAAAGGTTTTCTAGGGAGGGACTTACGTACCATAGATACTATAGATACTCTGCCACAAAAGCCTATTCAACAATGGGGCTCGGACCATTAGCCACTTTTATCCACCTGCCAACGTACTTTTTCATATCCCTAACTGAGACTCATTGTTCTGCCAGCCAAAAATAAAAACAGCTGAAACCCACTTTGAACAATGCAACAAAGTGCATGCAGGATAATGGAAACGAAATGCATACATAACGAATGGATTTTGGATCCTGTCATGCGGGATGAGCAAACACTCCCGAATTAAAGGGAAATTTAAACTGGGAAAGATTGGTAACTTAAAATCTGAAAATCATTTATCAAGTTGCGTCACATCGCTGGACACTTTCACTCCCTCGGATTTTCATTAGCCAACTGTCAGCCGTCAAATGCTGTTAACGATTCCCCTGATTCTGATTCTGGTCCTGATCCCAATCCCAATCCCTATCCAGATTCCTACTCCTGCTGGGTGGGCGTTAGAGTGTCCTTTCCCGAGGGTGCTTTACTTGTTGTTGGCCTGCCCTTAATTGTTATTTGGACAAATTGTTTTTCGCTAACCAGCCAACGATTAATGATGTGGTCAGTGTTCCGCAAAGGGGGAGTTAAACCATAAACCGCATCGGTTGTCTAGAAAATTTATAAGGGTTTCCGCAATTAAATCTGTACTAATTACCAACAACAAGACAATTAAGAAAAGATGCCGTGAATTTGACTGCCAATGCTAAGGAACTTATAAAAATGGAAAGAAAATTTCCTCTGAAGGGAAAAACTAAATTTTTACTTACAATTGTAAATTAAATGATAAGATGGAATAGGGAATTGAAAGATAATATTATATGCTTATTTTCAGTAGCGGAGTTTTATTGTTAATTCTCGAAGAGTACTGAATAAAGCTTGAAAGAAACACAATTCTTATTTGGATCGCTTGGCATATTGTTCCTGCCCGGCGTAGAACTCCTCGTCGTTCTCGTAGATTATATAGCTGAGTCGGGGCTGGTCGGATTGGGAGGGTGGTGGTTGTTTCTCCAGGGCGGCTACCATCTGCTCATTGGCATTCAGTTCGCCCATCAGCTCCGCCATAATCTCGTAGGAGATGCGCAGAAGGTGGGTCCCAGAATCGCGCCAAGCTTCGATGATATTGTGGTTTCGGTTGAGATCCTCATCATTACCAGAAAAGAGATACTTTACGCGGCATCCCCGAAAGCCTCGTAATTTTACATACTGCACTGATTTTGGTGGGATCTCCTCAGGGGTTTTTGGTCTGGCAACTGAACGATCCATTCCTTCATCTGTACTTTCTGAATTTGTGGTGCTGCTGCTGCTCAAATCAATGGAATTCATCTCGAAGTCACTCTCGCTGCTGGTATCCACCTCGATGGGAAGGGGTTGGGCTGGATCGAGGACCTCAGAGGTTTCCACCTCTGAACGCAGGATGTGCAGCTGACGGATGTTCACTTGGAGTTGCAAGTAGTGCAACTGACCATCCGGACGAGTGGCCTTCAGAAAAAGGCGAGTCTTCTCATTATGAGTGGGTTCGGCGTCGTGAAGGAGGCGCAGCATAATTTGGGTGGGTGTCACATGGCCAAAGATCTCCTTTAGCTCCAGGGGAGACTCTTCGGTTAACATTCGCAGGGCATCCGCGTAGAGCTCAACTGCAACAGCCCGACCCAGAAACTCACCCACATATTGCTTGCAACGGGAGCATTCGATGCGACGACGATTGCGAAATGATGTGACCCCATCGCCCAGGAGTGCAGTGCAAATCACCAGATAATTCAAACCATAGAATAGGTCATGGGCACCGGGATACACCGGCAGTCTGTAGCGTGCTGAGAAGTAGTTCTGCGGCCTCATTGTGGTTAAGGGAACCTGTCTAATGTGAAGGTACTGCCATCGGGAAATTATCTCATTTGCACAGTTGCTGCAGTGAAAGGAACATGGAGTAAGTGCATTAACGTGAAGTGGCAGATCCTTCTGATCCACCTCAATGGTGTGCTCCTCCAAGGCTCTGTAAGTGATCCTCCGGAGACTCAGGCCAAACACCAAGTGATTGTTGGACAGCATTTCAACTAAGGTGTACGGAGTATTGCCATCATTCGTCTTGACTGCGATTTCAAAGAACTTGTCCACCATTATGCGGTACTCCAGGTTCTGTTCGCTCCAGGCAATTCCATTCGGGCTGACCTCCAGCATCTCGCGAGGACTCTCAAGGAGGACAGGCTTGAATAAGTTCATCGATCTTAGCAGCAGGACATTAATCCAGTTGCAGCTGCGAATGTAGGAAATTAACACTTGGTCCACTGGCATTGTTTCGAATTGGTTTTAATGCTGCTCTTATAATATTAAAAAAATATTCTTTTCCAAGTTTTTTCTTATGTAATGCAACCGGGTTTTATCAAGTGAACCGTTCACAATGAGTCGTAAAGATTAATGCTAAGAAAAACTCGCTTACTCCCTATTTTCTTTCTAGTGGTGAAAGCCTTTCTCCTGTTTTCTATCGATTAAAACAGGGTTACAATACTCCTAAAACATGAGAGAGCTGACCCTTCGATTAAAAGTGAATCCCATTTTTGTAGTCCCTTTATTATTCCATAAACATTTTATTCGATTTTGTCACATGAACAGATTTTGGGTCCTTTGAAGTTACCTTAACTGAACATTCAGATTACCCAAATTGTCCTGGTTTTTCAGCCGCGCACCTTTTAAAGCTCTTTATCGAGGTTTAACTGGGAAAAGTTACGCTTTTGTTTTTTGATTTTCCACTGAGTGGGTGGTTGGGCTTGCGGAGTATCGCTTTTTGGCGGATGCCAGTCGAGACCCTTTGGCTCTTTTGGCCAGGAGATAAAGCGAACGCTTTGCGCTGCGGCCGGAAAAAAGTTTTGCGTCATAATAAATAATTTCAACGCATTCGTCTGGAAGGATTAAGCGGTGCAAAGCCTGTTTTGGTTTGCCTAACCGTTTTTCAGCGCTTTAAAAGGGAGTTTCGGGTTAAATAGAGACATGAAAATGTGGGTGAAAATTATTGGAAGGCGAGAAAAAATCAGAGAATATAAACTTCAAAATCATACTTGATACCAATTACAATTAGTCGATTGAAAAGTGTGTCAAAAGTTTGTTAACATGATTTTAGTCTTGATAGGGTTACAAACGATTTTTATCGAAAACATTGCTGACTTCTATGATAAGATGAAAATATGTTAGAAATTACTGATATTTGGAGTGACTTCCTTTTATGCTGTTGAGATTGTTACTAAAATTTAAGTTTTTTTTTGAGTGTTCACGTGGGCCTCTTTAGCTCAGTGGCAGAGCACTGGTCTTGTAAACCAGGGGTCGTGAGTTCAATCCTCACAGGAGGCAGTGAGTGGGCGTTACTTTACTTTTTTCATTTAAAATATAATGAGCTTGTTTACTTTTCAGCTTGAGAATCAATTCACAACTTCAGTACATTGTTAACCACCTTAAAGCGCAAAAGTTAAATAGAAAATGTCACCCATGAACGTGTATCCAATTTAGATATTACCAACCAGTTGACAAAAGCAAATGTTTTACATTTTTAATTAGAAACTCACACAGACCGAGTGAAAAACCCACCCAGGAGCAATCATGTGTGACATTATCGCCGACAGGACATCAACAATGCTCCTTAGCCACCACCTCAGCCAAAAAAGAGAGAGCTTTGCGGTTTGGGTAAACACTGAAAACAAGAGTGGCGCGAACGCTCAAGGACTTTTCAAGGAAGCGCCTGCTTAGACTATCAGTTGACATCCTTGCGTCGCGGGTAAATATTGACAGAAATGTTTTTGAATAAAAATCGACCCTCGAGTGACTTTAGAACCTTGCATGCTTTTAATTATTTGTTTATGCTAGCTGCGGCTTCATTGCCCTATTATTTGTTTATAATTAAAGCGCTGACATTTTTCCTTACGCATTTATGTATGTATCTTTTGCTTGAATCACTTTAATTTTGATTTTTCATTCAACTCCTTAATTAAAAACCAACAAGCGAACCGCTGCGACAAACGAACACAATGCGGCTGGCTTGTTGTTAATTAATTTGGCCTTTACTTGTGGGCGGAGGGCATGCATGGGGTATAAGCCAATAAATCGCACATAATCTCCCTGCCCGGAGTTTCCATTCTTTCGGGTTTGACGAGTTGCATTCGCATGATCCTTGCATCGTTCGGGTGATTGGGAAATAATTAAATAAGATGTGGGCATATCAAACATAACACATGTACAAAACGGAGTGGATGAACAAGTTAAAAAACACCCTTTCTAAAATACGTAAAAATAAATACATTTAGAAAATTATAACTATGCATTCAGTTTAAAGTCAAATTTAAGATTATTTTTCTAATATTCCACTAGCATATACGGAAGAGGCGGATTCGATATTAAACCTTAAAGAATGTTTTGTAATATTTCTCTGTAGACTTGTTCTGCAACCATTCAATCTGGTTAGCGTTTATAAAAAATCAACCCAATTTGGTGCCAATAAAGGAGCTCCAAAAAGTATGCAACACTGTGCTGACTCAGCCGAATTTTTGCTAAGAGCCAAGTTATTCTGACCAAGGGGATGGCAATTTATCATTTTAGACTGTTCAGCAAGTGTTGACTGATGAGCCCCAGTGGGTGGACTGGGTGGTGGGTGCTTTAGTGGAGGGTGGCTAAGTCGCCGTGGCCCCCTTTTAACTTTTGAGCTCGACGCAACTGACAATTGGCCTTGCTGCTCGGCTGCCTCGCTCCTTTGGTAATTAATTTTGATGGAGGACACATTGCGCTTAGTTGGCTTAGTTCACCCGCAGATGCGACCAGGTAAGGACAACTTTTTTGGGCCGGGAATAAATCTGCATCTGGCCAGCAGCTGCGTCGGAAGAGGACAGTGTTTTTTGGTGTTTTAATTTTTGGCGTTGGTGTTTGGTGTTTGCTCGCCATGCCGGTCCATCAAAGTCTGGAAGCCGAAAGCTATTAGGGGAATTAAAAATGCATGAGGCTAAAAATGGGTTTTTGCTCTCAGCTTTTCAGCTGAGACTCCAAGGTGCGTGGCACTTAGTTAATTAGGCAGTGAAGGAAGGGGGAAATAGAGGGGGGTAGAGGATGCCACTTGTCTGTGGCATTTTGCTTGACTTAAAATATTTCATAATTCATGGATTCAATTGTTTCCAGCGGAGCTAAATTGCATGTTTCTTTGACTGCAATTACGCGGGGCAGACGATCGCATTTAACTGTTTGTGCACTTTGCCTGCCACGGCGGTGGGCGTCACCCAACCGGCCACGCCCCCTGTTCAATCTCGCCTCTGCGATCTGCTATCTGCGAAATGCGATGTGCGCCAAGCGGTGCAGCGCCACCCGCACCCTTTTCTAATTTCTTGGGAATTAGAGTTGAGAAATTATGAACTGGCAGCCCGTGCACTCACCCATCCGCTCACTTACTTATTCATCTGGCTTAATTGCAGAAGACAATAATGATTATGGCGATTATTATGCCTATGATGAAGACGCTGAGCAAAACTCTTTTATTTAGATATTCTGAAAGTCAGTTCCGCATGCGCCTGCAATACCCTTTTAATGGGAATAAATTTGATGTGTAAACCTAGAATTTTTATTGTAACAGAAAGTACTCGCATATTTTAAACTGAATCTTATTTGTGGTGGCCAAAAATATTAGAATATTTTAAAATGAACTTACTATCTGTCCATCAATTTGTTCAAACTTCTACAATATTAAAATTTTTTTTATTAATTTTATATTTAAAACTGGTTTATCAAATGTATACAATTTATATCACTTCATGTATAGTTTTTTTTAGTTACTTCAGTTAAAGTTTGTTCCTGTTAAAATATGTAACAAAACCAGGTATTTATTTATATTATTTATTTTATTGAACAGTAGTGCATTCCAAATTCGACTGGTTGCATTCACAACTTTACGTATTCATCTTCGACATCTTTTTGTTGTCTCCTTCTAAGTTCTCGCTTTGTGGTTGCACTTTGCGGTTTGTGTTTGTTGTGTTCATTAATTGTTCTATTAGTTTTAATTGATTGCAAATGTACAAAGTTGAATTGCTGTGGGACAGATATGAGATGTTTCCCAAGTCAGAGAAAGAGTGATAAATTCAAGGGGAACAGAACTTTCTTGATGACATTTCGGGATGCTATTGTTGCAGCTCAAGGTTTTTTTTGGGCAACCTCAGCATATTGGTCAGCTGTGGTTGCGACTTATTGATGCTGCTGATCAGATAAGTGTGGCACAGTTGCCGTTGCCGGCTGCTGCCACTCGTGATTATCTCTCCTTTGCATGTTGGGTCAGCTGCCACCGATGTCTTCGATGCCTCCGATGCTGAGATGCATCTCGAATGGCTCGCGACAACGATGACGTTGCATGTTGCATGTGGCTGCCTGTGTGACACTTTTGCCTCGACAAAAGTGCTTCCTCATCCTTGGAATTCCTTGAACTTTGCTGAATGTTGAGTGGGAATTATGGCGATAAGCGATAAACGATTTGCGATAAGCCACCCGCTGGTTTTGAGCCTTTATTTAATGTTGCTTCGGCACGAGAAGAAGTTGTCGCCGCGGTTTTTGCATACTCGTAACTTTCGGCAGCTGTATTGGCCTAAAAACCCACAAATTACGTTTTGACCGGCCAACGCCAGCGTGGACAATCCGATTACCCGCTCTGTTGGCTGTCCATTTGGCCAAGAAAAGGGAACAGAAACCACCCTCATCTATCCGCAAAACTGTCGGCTAATGTCACACGCCTCTCGGTTCCAGGTTGTCCGGCCTTTTGTCCCCTTCGGGTTTATTGTTTCTCTAACAAATTGATTCAGCAAAAACTGGACAAAACGGAACATCTTGCAGCATCTTACCGCCTGCGATCTTGGCTCATAGATTAGCCCGGGGTCCAGTTGGTTATTGTCATGGAAATGGCGAATTGGTAGCAGCAATAGCTACCAATATCGGAGGCAAATTCGGAGGCCGGCTCTGAAAACAAACCGAACGCATTGTCCTTCGCTGTGTGGCTCGAATTTGTATCGCCTTTTCGAAATCTACTTAGCACACAATGGCGTTGAAATAGTCTTATTGCTTTTTGAGTGCTATTTGCGTAAGATTTATGGCCTGTATTGAGTGCTATCTGTATAGTATGTATTTACCGCTTTAAACTTTCATAATTCAACGCAACAGCTCATTATGCGAAAGTTTTCACCGGCTTGGCCCGGCTCAATTACCAACTGGCTGACAGATGGGTTCAACTTCGTGATTTTGCAGATTTTCGAAACTCAATTTGGGCAACAAAACGATATTCAAATGTTGTCAAAGCCTTCGATTATTCCGGCCAGAGCCTAACTACCGTTCCGAGAATGCAGCAGCAGCAGCAGCACAAACAAACAGACACCCACCTATTGGAAGCCCAGCCATCTCGACACCTTGGAACTCCGGAGCCATCCCAGCCATC